TGCATGACATCACAACGTGGAACAGAGCATTTTGAGCTTTGGACATGTACGCAGACTAATAATAAAGGTTTAACAAAACACAACTCCAGGTAAGTTTTTGATGAAGTAACAACATTATAACATGGCTTTAAGCTCACAATATAAAACCTTTAAGACATGATACTTCGTTGTTTGTGGAGAAAACTACACTTCAAAAATTGCAGCCTTTGCGATTCGCTAATTACGTCTATCCGAACTGCGATTTCGATGTGATTGCAATTTAATCTCGCGGCCCTATTTTAAATGTACTTTAGGCTGGTGTTTAGGATTACACATTCAGCAGTCTTCAGCAGTCTCTTTATACACTTCACACTCACACAAACACAAACACACACACACACACTCCGGTCCAATTAACGCCTCGTCTCCTGTCAACAAAGATGCTGAGACTACGTGCAGAATGCAGACAGCGTTGTACTTCCTGAATACCTTATAAACGCAGTGTTAGAATACTGCGTGTTTCTACCTTGAATGTTAAATTAGCTTCCAGCGAAGAAAAAGACAAGAAATATACGTTCAGAACAAGACAATGATTTGTATTATTACTGACACAAAAGAGTTCTTATACACCGGCGGTTATGAAATTGCTAGAGAAGAGTATTCACTGTAAATTGCTCGTTCTAGGGATGCATGGGAGGTATTCGAAAAGTTGAGAAATACAGCAAGTAGCTCTAAGTTTTCAAAAGTTCCTTCCAAAATGCAGGTGTTGTTATTTATTTTATTTGTCGAATCTTAAAGGGCCCATGTTCTGATCTATGTTATAATGTTGTTTCCTCGTCACAAACGTACTCGGAGTTGTGTTTTGGTTCATTCACACCTTTAATTAACATGCAAATCCTTCATTCATGTTTAGTTTAGTTCTTCCCTCAAACGGAAAAGGTCAAATGTAGCTGTTAACTTGAAAAACTACCATTTCAAGACATCGCAAAGTGGAACAGAGCATTTTGAGCTAGACAAATCCGTGTATCATTCGTTGATTCGTTTTTCAAAAATAAAACCAAACATAATAAAATGAAAAAACAACTATTTTCTTCACCATTTGTCTCCAAAACCAAAATGAAAAAACAGATATGGATTCATTTTTCCAGTTTTCGATTTAGTGTTTAAATGAATACTTTTGCGCCACATACGAACTAAACCAGGACTGATCCGAGAATGGAACCAGGAGGACTAAACCAGGACTAAACCAGGACTAAACCAGGACTAATCTTGGACTTGAGAGAGAGGGAGAACCCTGAGCCCGTGGAGCAGGGTGTCCGAAAAAGCGCGATCAGGCTGCGCTTAGCCCCGTGCGACGTGGAGCTCTGCACCGGTCCTTTTGCCTGCGGTCACTTGACGGTCTATGCGGGTGCATCGCCAAGCCCGTCCTGAGACTCAGTTCTAGTTCAGTCCTGGCTTAATCCTCCAAGTTCAGTCTTGGGATCAGTCCTGGTTTAGTCCTGTTTTAGTCCTGATTCAGTCCTGGTTTAGTCCTCCTGGTTCAAGCCTGGGATCAGTCCTGGTTTAGTCCTGGTTTAGTCCTGGTTCAGTCCTAGTTTATTCCTCCTGGTTCAATCCTGAGATCAGTCCTGGTTCAGTCCTGGGTTCAGTCCTGGTCTGTAAGGGTCAAAATTGGATGAAACAAAAAACGACCATTATCCATTTTTTCCATAATTCATTTAAACACAAAATCGAAAACTGAAAAAACAAATCATTATCTGTTTTTTTAATTTTGGTTTTGGAGACAAATAATGAAGAAAATTGTTGTTTTTTTTTTTCATTTTCTTATTTTTGGTTTTACTTTGAAAAACAAATGAACGAATGATACACAGATTTAGACAGACAAATAATAAACAATTACTCAAATGTATGAATGAAACAAAACACAACTCACTCTGTTTTTGATGAGGTAAAAACATTATAACATGACTCATAACACGCTCACCAGAGTCAATTTTGCGTAATATTGAACCTTTAACTACTGTGAATATTAGACAAGCTTTGACCCTTGTTTACACTATGGTTGCTAGGTAACTGTTATTGAATTTTGAAGCCTACGTCACATTTCCAACGTAGAAATAAAATCATACACATCGAACTAGACACATTTATCAGATATAATTATGTTTACTACGTCATATGTATGTGCATGAAAGATTTACAGCAGCAGTAGTCAGTAGTAATTATCTGCCAGTAAAACGCATGTACTACAGCTTTAACAAGTACTTTCTCAAGAGCAGACCTCCACCTCTGATTAAATAATTGACTTTGCCAATTAACTTTGACACGGTCCACCAATCAGATAGAAACCGTGTGTCAGTCCAGCTCTCCCGCTGTGGCTCCATATGCAGGCACTAATACTGTGTACTCCAAAAACCACAGGGGCTGGTTCTGCCGTAATACTACAGCAAGGTGTGGCAATAAGTTTCATCAAAGCACTCATATTTGCTTTTTACTTAGATCTTATTCTTACATGATACTTTTTACATGTATTTGCGTGGTATAATTTGAATCATCTTTTGTTTAGTCTTCAGTGTGTGAATTTGAATGTGTTATGTTGGCAAGTCAAGATTCACAGATGTTTCTTGTATCTAATCTTCACGTACAACTTACTTTCAAAAAAGACATAATGTGCTTGTGTCTGCTATATACCGTATTTTTCAGACAATACGTCGCACTTTTTTTCATGGTTTGGGTGGTCCTGTGACTTACACTCCGGTACGACTTATATATTAAAATTTTCACACTGAAGCCTCAAGATGCTCTAGGCCAGGGGTGTCAAACTCATTTTGGTCCGGGGGCCGTATCCAACCTACTTTGATCCTAAAGGGGCCGGATCAGAAAACTCATGGCATATAAACCCCAAAAACAGCAATAAGTTCAAATATTTGTGCAGAGAAACACAAATCTATTACAGAAATCTTTTTTAATTGATGAACTCTTTCTTTTACAAAATATTATAATATTATGAGAAAAAATACTATTTCAACACAATGTTTTAACATGAACTTCTATGTAAATAGGAATAGGTCAATTTTTCTTGGAAAAAACTGCACTCGGCTCCACTTTTCTATTTTTTATATTTTGCTGATGAGGGTGTCACGATCAACAGTCAAAACCTTTAAGAGCGTTTGGAAAGAGACAAGTCTTCATTTGAGCTGCTCTGGTGGGAGGGGCCACGTACAGAGGCGCTGGAGATGCTGCTGTGATAAACACCACAGAAAATTACCAATATGTTAATAGAAAATATGATTAAAATATTTTTGTAGAAAATCAGCCGAGGGCCACATTAAAGGTCTTGGAGGGCCGGATCCGGCCCCCGGGCCTTATGTTTGACACCTGTGCTCTAGGCTATCTGTTACTCCTATTACTCCTGTACCACTGTCACTTGACTCTACTGCACATGTCTCCTGCAAAAAGAGCCTCTGTCCTGTCTGTATCATGTCAGTCGATCGCACCATTACTTCTGCACCACTGAAAATGTAAAATTTAAAAAAACTTATTAAGAAAACTGAGAAGATTGAACACAAATGCCCCCAAAAAGAAAATCAGATTTTGCAGATTATGAGCTGCAAATAGTGAAATCTGCAGCTGAAAACTGTCATCGAGCAGCCGAAAAAAAGTTTGGAGTGAGCAAGAAACTTGTGACACTGAGAGGGTGCACCATGCAACTTTCCTGCAAGTCACTGGATGGATCAACAAAGCCTGGACTTCAGTGACAACCAAAACCATCCTGTTGTGATTCAGAAAGGCCGGAATAATTCTAACTGGAACTGAAGCTGAGTCTGACAACAGCTACACAGAAAAGGAAGCGGCGCTCTATTTACCTCTAGAGGTTGCGGAGTTGCTCAGAAGTGACACCGAGGATGAAGAATTGAATGGATTTAGTGATTTGGAGTGAGAAGAAGAGTTTGGTAAACTTGTTCTGTTCTGTTGTTTATGTTATAGTTTATCTGAAGAACTGTTCATATGTGACGTTAACAGCCTGTTTTTCTCTTTTCTATTGTTATTACTATAACTTGCATTTCAAGATGAAATGTCAGTTCCTGATCTCTGATTTTATAAAATAAATTTGACCCCAAAAGTGTGATTTATAGTCCTTTATAGACTTTATAGTTCTAGTATAGACTTATAGCCCAAAAAATATGGTAATTACAATCTATCAGACTCGTGGATCATTCTGTTTCTGCAAAATTTAAATCGCAATATTAATCTAAAACAACTTAATAAAAGAAACAACTCATCTGACTTCCGCATAAAAAAAAAACTGCAAAGCCCATTGGGAGCTGAATCTGGGATTTGAAAACTACCAATAATAAAAATCCTGACTGTCCATCTGCTCCAACAGTCTCTCTGACCACAACCACTCACGTTTATTGACAAAGGTGGATAGTAATTAGATACATAAACTCTATTTGAGACATATATTTGACAGTGTAACAGAACTTGCACTTTTTAAATCTTACGTGAGCAACTTCCACCACTGCTTCTTTACTTCCACTTGAGTAATATTATTTTGAAGTAACAGTGCTCTTATAAAAGCCAGCCATATGTCCTCATTGTATCATAACTCTTCAGCATTTGTTTCAATCTGTAGCTTTTAAGGGCTGCAGGATGAATGGCAATTAAATCAAAAAAGCAATTTGAGTTGGCGTAATTAAATCACAAGAGTGCACTAATTTTGATAGAAAAATGTCCTTTCTTTTTAAAGAGAAATCTTGTTGACCCTGTACTTTTTGACCTCTAAAAACAGATTCTGAAATGCAAAGGGTTCTTGTATTAGTTAATCAGTTCAGATTTCTGTCTTCTCTCAAATGTTAATGCTCCTGAATACTACTTTTTAAATCATAATGAAAAAACCCAATTGCAATAAGATTTTTCCTTGATATACAATTTTTTTTTACATATACATCTTGCATTGAGAGGGATAGTCCAAAACTTTTGATTGGTAGTGTATGTACTGGTAATGGACTTGGACTTACCTGGTTGTGAATATAAGCGTGCACTCTCTCCAGCATCCCCTCACAAGTATACTCATGTGGTACGAACGGCTCCACCTGCACAGATCCAAAACACACTTACAGCCAAGAAAAAAAAAAAAAAAGAATATAGTGTGTGTAATTATGAGGAAGGCCACTAGGAGTAAATCAGCTCTGACATATTCATTAGTGTAATTGTGGAAGGCCTATATCATGTGAGCTGTAATAAAAGCTAATAGGGCTAATGCATCACACACGACAGCTTCTGAAATTGATCTCCTTATTTTTAGTGCTATCAACGTCAGCGTCGGACAATGGGTGAGTTGGTAAATGGGCAAGCGGTGGAACACTGAATGAAAATGGGAACAAAACACCATCATGCTTTTTCAGTACGATATTATCATCACACAGAACATCTCTAGGTGATACTAGAAAGTTTTTATAAATCTAACATTAAAATTATTCACTTATTAAAGCAATATTTTATGCAAGGTACATTTATTTTTGAGCACAGTTTGTGCACAGTCAATGTGCTTTACAGAACAAGAAAGATGCATGAAAGATCCTGTACTCAAATCTTTCCCATGTATTTGAGTCTTGCACCTGTACAGATTTACTGCAGCTGCAAAAGCAGCTTTTCAGGTCAAAATAACTCTAGTTGTTGTTCGCTGTACCATCTGCAAAACTCTTGCACCTGCACTTGTCTCTGAGAGTTTTCCTTTACAGCTCTATTAACTCATTGCGGTGAATATTTAAAATGTCTGGAAAGCATAAGGTCAGTGGAGAATAACTTTGGACAATGCAAACCTGTTTTCACATTTTTAAAATCAGGCATCACCTTTAAAATCATAATACACACAAATAAAAACAAAATAAATTATTTGTTAAAGTTAAAAGAGAAGAGCGCTGATCATAAACTGTATATATAAATGGATATTCCAAATAGGAAGTGAGCATGGAGCATGGGCTCACTTTCTACTCTGTTTCCAGTTGACTTTACACTGAAAAACTGTGGCCTCTCTCTCTGTAACTGCTACAGTGAGCCTCATCATTTTGATCTTAAAACTTTCGTTTTAACCTGCTCTAAATGATCCTGGTGTTTTTATTTATTATATTTTGTCCATAAATCAACATATGAACAGTAATAACAGACCAATGAACTGCCCGCTTTCCCCGAGGTCACTCTCGCTAGCATCAGCAACAGGTTGATTATTAAGTGCCTGCTCCTTGCCAAACCAGCAGTGCGGGCGGGAAGGGGGATTGATTTCAACAGCCACACTCCTGATTGGCTCTTTGGTTGCTATGAAGTCAAGAATTCCAAATATGGAACTTGCCTAAAAATCCACCCCTATAAGCGCTGGCCTCAGTGGACGTGACGCTCCCTTTGTCCACTTCTTTATACAGTCAGTGGTCCTGATGAAGACTTTTAAGTCAATATGCAGAACCAAACAGAATGAGCCTGTATTTGATCAATTAAATGTTGCTCCAAACAAATTCAATTATGTTTTACATAAATAATGAACATCTCAATTTCCAGTTCGTCTCTTATACATTTTCACTTCATGTGACTTGAGTATGCTGTCCAGGTACCACATTGTTTCTATAGGGCATGTAAATTGACAAATGGCTTGTGTTAGCGCTGTGTTCCTTTTAGCAGTGTTATTACTTTATTCCATCTGAGTTTAATGAAATGTATCTGACACTTCATCAGTTACTGCGCCACGCTATTTGCCTTTTGGCCATCTTTGTATAATCGAGACGGAGCGTGAGAAAGAATAGACTCCAAGTGAAAATTCAGTGATGGGAAACAGTTCAGTGATTGTTCAGTGCGTTTGCTATGATTGTTTTTATAGGAAGTTGTATGTTGAAATATGTGAGGATGTTATTTTGGGCTTCAGGCGAAAGGCTAGACGTACACATGGGGCTAACTTTTTCTCCCGGCTAGCTGAAATGGTGACCAGTGGTTTTAGTTTGTTTTTTAAATGGGAAATTGTTGTGTTTTTATACAGCGCTTTTCTACCTTCAAGGCACTCAGAGCACTTTACATCAAGGAACCACTCACCCATTCACACATGCACTCATACTCCAGTGTACACAGATACTGGAGGCGAGGGGGGGTTAAGTGTCTTGTTTGCCCAAGGACACAATGGCAGAGTTCATCTGTAAGAGCTGAAATTGCACCTCCGATCTGTGGGCCAGTGGTTCTCCCAAATTCAGATCAGTGGACAAACATTCTGAACTGAGCTACTGATGCTTTAGTTATTTATTGTCACTCGTTGTGTTTTTGTCCAGGAAGGCAAATGGGGAAAAAAGTATAGAATTTTATGGTGGATTTAATACAATATGTAAGATTGGAAGAGATCAGAAGAAAACATAATTCAGTTAGAATTGAATATATATTGGCATATCAAAATTAAATGCTTAGACAACGAATCCATTTTGAATCTACAACACATCAGTTTTGAGGTAGCCAATGTATGGCATTTGATTGGGTAAAACGTAGACCATATTTTTCGGACTATAGTGCACTGGATTATAAGGAAAATATCAGTAATGTTGAATTTTCTCGTCTATTTTCATACATAAGGCGCATGAAACGGACAACAATTGAGACTGATACCTTATCCCAGGCGTAAATGATCCATTGGCAGATCGTGGCATAATTCGACCGGCGTTGTCTCCCTCTTTCGGTGAATGTGGATTATGAATGTGAATGTGGGTGGATAATTTTAAGTGTGCTTAAGTGTTGTTTAAGTATAAGCGCTGAAAAAAAACAGCTCGCTCCTTGTGCCTGACTTTCTCCGCGAGGCTCCTGACTACAGTGGCTGACAATCCATCAAGCAGTGCGGCTTCATAGTTTACAAAAGTCATACTAAAACATTTTGACAGATTTTTGAACGCCGTGTACCACATAAAATCGCTTCGAGGTCAGTAAGCACAACCAGAATTAATACATAAGGTGCATCAGATAATAAGGAGCACTACCGATTTTTGAGAAAAAGGATTTTAAGTGTGCCTTATAATCCGAAAAATACAGTATATTTGCTAATTACTAATTTTCTAAACTAAATCTATAATACATATTGTTATTTTTTTATGTTTTATTTCAAATGATAATGCGTTGATTAATAGACCTACCAGCTGTACAAAGGATTAGTCTTGTTCTTTTGACTATGAGTTACTATTGTCCTAGTATTGCCTTCTGTATTGTTGTTGACTTTATTAAAAGATACACCATGTAACTTTTCTGGTGGAGGATCCATTTGTCTCTATGGAGGTGTTACTGCTATTGGAATGTTCCACGGTATGGCATTAGATTTGTCTACCTGCATGGAGACAACAAGCTAAGTTTCAGGTCAGATCTGTGGAGAGGCAAGCCCCCTCACAGTAGAAAGCATAATGTTCATGTTTTTGAAAGTAACTGAGTAAACGCAGAATAGATTTAGATGTTTCTGTCACGTTCACCATAGTGGGACAAACTTATCTTATTCTAGGTCAAGTAATAAAATCCCCATGGAGACGAGCAGGTGACGGACCCCCTGATCAGGAAGTTTCCACAGTGCAACTTTAATTACTATTGATAATGATGAGTCACGGTGCACACAGCCCACTCAGTGCATTTTTGTTTTGCATAATGTTAGCGACAGATTGAGAACAGCTTGATAAATGATGATGGACTGTTGACAATGCTTCAGCGCCGGAGGGGCAAGCCTGTGGAAAAACGCCATGTAAAAACAGCTGTGGAGAAGGCGTATTCACACTACTCCGGCAATTAGCGTCAGGCTGCAGAGCGCTAGCTAAGCAGTCTGCCGTATCCCTCCGTCGTGATTTAGAGCCCCATTAGCCGCCGAGGGCTTCAGAAATGGGTCAGAGTTTCAAGTGTGCAAATTAGGTCCACACCTCGCCTGTGAAAAGTGGTAAATTTGAGCACATTATTACAAGGGCTTGACATTAGTGCTATAACCAGCTAGTAGATGTAGAGATGGTTAGCTAGCCGTGAAGCCAACTGGATTTTCTACATGATTTTACAAATGTTTTGGAGTCTTATTTGCCTACCAATATTGCCATAAATAGATTAATTAAGTGATAATGAATCCAAATTTATTCCAGAAATGATTACGGTTACAGTTGCTGATGTTAGGACTAGGACTGAGTATTAGAGGTGGAACAATATTCAAGTCTCACGATAAAATATTATCACGGTATAAACCTCACGGTACGATATTTATTGCAAAAATACAAACTGACCCTTAAGATCCTTGACAAAAAGCCCAAAACACTGACACCACTGTGAAATTACAAAGAAACATCAACTTTTTAACTTTGAAAATTTTCTCAATTTTAATAATCTTAAATTATTTTTTAAGTGTCTTAACTGCGATACACCATTACAGTCAGAATTTGCCAGGACCATAAAATGTTCACACAGAGCGAACACAAGAGGCGCTACTAGTGGTAATTGTGTTGTTCCTAGGTACAGGACGGCTCTTGGTCAGTCCTCATTCTCTTTCAAAGGGGCTCGTCTGTGGAACGGTTTAACAGCTCATTTAAAATTGGAAACCAACAACAACAAATTCAAAAGGAAATTAAAATTATTGTATGTTTCCAATCAAAACTGCATCTACTGAAAATGTACTGTATATATTTTATCTGTATGTAATTTATGTGTCTTGTATTCTCTGTTTTTATTCGTGTAGTTTATATTTTTATATGGACAGGTGTTGAAAACTAGCACTTGTGCTAAAACACTCAAAGCAATACATCTGGCTTGTCTAATGCGATTGTGATGTCCTTAATAAACATAAATAAAAATAAAAAATATAGAGGGAAAGCTCATAATATGGTGGGGAGGCTTACGATTATGTAAGAATATCCAAATCTCTCGGTACAATATTTTCACATTATACATCTCACGGTACGATATTTTGTGGAGGCGAACAAAACTGTTAATATGTGACTTTTTCCTCTTAAAATGCCTTGACAAGACTTAATCCAAAGATTTAAAAGTGCTTAGAACTGTTATTTCTTCTTCTACACTGAAATGGAGCAAAGGATCATGGTCTATGTAGTTCCCTCTGTCTTTTTTTAGCTATTTCTGCACCATAACTCTTAATTTAAGCAAAGAGATGTGTAAGTGACAAATGACATCCGCCTAACACTGATGCAGGCAAAGTCTCAGTCTTGATCCTGTTAGATCTGAGTGCTGCTTTTGACACTGTCGATCATGGGATCCTCTTACAGAGACTGAGGACTGGGTGGGCATCTCTGGTACTGATACTAAACTGGTTCAAGTCTATCTAGAAGACAGGAAGTATTTTGTTTGAAATTGGAAACTTGTTCTCAGATGACATGGCCCTGACCTGTGGGTCCTCAGGGGTCAATCCTGGCCCCTGTTGTTCAGTCTCTACATGCTGCCATTAGGCCAGTTAATAGCAGCAATAACGTGTCGTACCACAATTATGCAGACGACACTCAGATCTACGTCTCTCTGGCAGCAGGAGACTATGGACCGTGGACTCACTTGGTCACTGCATCCAACAGATTGTGTGGATGCAAAACAACTTTCTCCAGCTAAACTCTGACAAGACTGAAGTCATAGTGTTTGGTCCACAAAACAAAGGGACAGTGTCAGCAGTCACCTCCAGTTCTCGCTCTAAAACCTTCAAATCAGGCAAGAAATCTAGGGTAATAATGGACTCAGACTTGAACTTTAACAGCCACATCAAATCAATAACATCTGCAGCTTTTACCATTAAAAAACATAGCGAAAATCAAAGGTTTATGTCTAAAGCAGACTTGGAGAAACTTATCCATGCATTTGTCTCCAGTAGGTTGACTACTGTAATGGTCTGCTCACTGGCTCTCCAAACAAGCTGTGAGACGCTGCAGAACATCCAGAACGCTGCAGCTCGGGTCCTTACTCGAACTAGGAAGTACGAACACATAAGTCCTGTGCTCAGGTCTCTGCACTGGCTCCTGTGCCTCAAGAATAGACTTTAAAGCAGCTCTGCTTGTGTAAAGTCTCTCCATGGCCGAGCACCAAAGTCCATCTGTGACATGTTAGTGTCATATGAACCATCTCACACTCTGAAGCTCAGGGACCGGCCTCCTGCTGTGCCCAAGTCACGACTAAACAAGGGGAGTCAGCGTTTCAGGTTCATGCAGCTAAAACTGAACAGTCTGAATGTGAGACAGACTCTTCTGTGACGCTGTTTAAATCAGGCTAAAACATTTCTGTTTAACTGTGCAAATAACTGAAAGGTTTCATTCCGCACTCTTCTCTCCAAATGTCTCTCTTTTTTAATTTTAATCTTCATGATTATTTATGTTTGATTTGTTTTTATTATGATTTTAATGTATTTCTTATTCTGTAAAGCACTTTGAATTACTTTGTTACGAATTGTGCTAACAAATAAACTTGCCTTGCCTTGCCTAATTCGATATATTGTGATGGTCCGCGATGTTATTGTGAGAACTTTGACGATACGATATCCCGATATTTCGGTTATTGTTACATCCCTACTGGGTATCATTAAGAAGTTGCCGATACGATGCATACCTTGATACAGTGCACTTTCAATTCGATATGGTATATTTCAAAACGATTCAATACAGTTCAATAAAAAATAAAGTCTAAATCATGGCTGTGATACTAAAAGTCTTTGTTAAACCACTTCTTGTTAATATGAAAAACGCACATTTTAATTATCAAAACAGTGAAAATGTCAAATGTGTTACATAAACAAGTTTCCCTTCTCTAAAAAAGCAACAAAACTGTAGTAACTGCAGTAACAAATTAATTCCGTAAAATATACCAAAAATACTCTTGGCAATATATCGATACAGCAGCCCGTGATATCGATACTGTATCATCACATTAAACAATATGGATATTTACGTATTTTTGGACACTCCTAGTTAGGGCTGTCATGTTAACAGATATATCGCTGAAGTAAATATAGAAGATAAATTATAATATTGAAACTAATTTATGCCACTAACAAAAAAACCTAAGGGCAGATTTAAACTACAAAAAGTATATAATACTGTTCAAAAATAATGACTTTTTAAAAAAAAATCCCAGTTTTACAAAGGAAAAGTACTCTCAATAAATGCTGACCCCCCAAAATTATTGTTCCATCTGTGTCACAGTAATTGTCGTGACAGGCCTCGTTGATGTCCTATTACCATTGCCAAATTAAAGCTCCACCGTGGAACCTTTAACAGACTAAAATAAGAGCATTTTTGTTTTTTAATGGGATGTTCTTTCTGCACTGAAAAACGTGTCCTTACTCTGAGCGGGCTTGTATCTCCACAAACCTGACTCTCATTTTGCCTTTTTCAGGGCTTCCTCCTGCTTGTTTCCATGGAAATGTTGCTCCTTTGGCTATATTCCATACACTGTAAACTCAAATAAATGACCTGAACTCAAAAAAAAAAAAATTTGGCAATTGATTACCTCAATTGTTTTAAGTTGATGAACTTAAAAGTCACAATCTTCTGGAACTTTAATGCTTGGATGACTATTTGTACCTTTTTAATAACGGCTGAATTAAAAGTGCTCATTTAGCTCAACTCAAATACTTTGCAGTTAATATGACTTATTATTTTAATTTATTATGACTTATTATTATAAATTTGGGAGTTTTCAAACTACTGGAATAATACTTATTTGGTGAAGCGCTTTGAAACTGTATTGCATTTTAGCATTTACTATATAAATTAAGTTTACTTATAAATCACCTCTATTTCAAACAATAGAAATAACAGGATTTTATCATTCTCAGCATTTAATTACTTCAATCTACTAAGTTGTACATTACGCTCACTTATACCCATAATAGTTCTGTTTAATAAAAAAAATATTACTTAAAATTACTCAAACAGAAGAACATGTTACAGCAATTTGACATAATTAAGTTATTAGGACTGTTTCTAAAACTTTGACTATACACAGCTTAATCTATTTAATTACTCTGAGCGTTCGGGTTTACAGTGTAGTAGAGTGTAATACTTATTTATCATGGAGAATGTTCCGAAGTGTGGTTTTAAATTTTTCATGGAATCATGCATAACTCCAGAAAGTGTTCCAGTGTTGTTTAACTATATAAGTATATAAATTCATACGTTTCATTTTTTTAAATTTACTTTTTACATATGACAATAGTCTCGAAGCAACATTCACCAAACACCTGGCAATAGTGAAAATCCTAAATGTAGGGATGTATCAATAACTAAAATATTGTACTATCGTATCGTCAAAAGTCTCACAATAATATCGTGGGCTGTAACAATATATCGAATCACAAGTTCCTTTGCTTAAATGAATAGTTTTACAGTAGCAACAGCTTATAAACATAGGGAACTACATATCCCATGATTCATTTCAGTGCAGACAACATAAAGAAATGTGTTTTTTGATTAAATTCTTGGGATTAAGATGGTAATACTTCTAGTCAAGGTATTTTAAAAGCAAAAAAAAGAGTCCCATCTGCAATTATATCAGCCTCTCCAAAATATAGCAATAAATATCTTAACGTGAGATGCATTTCGTGATAATATCGTACCGTGAGATTTGGATATCCATCCCTACTAAATGTGTAATTAAGTCCACTAACCTGAACAGTGAGTAAAAAAAAAAGTCATGTGTAGTAGGGGTGGGCGATATCTCGATATTTTAAATATATCGAGATAGTTTTTAAACTCGATATGAATTCTGACATATCGTATATATCGATATAATGCTTATATTCAATTATGATTTCGCGGCTTCGCTTGTTTAGCTTCTCTCTCGTCGTCTCTGCGCGCCCCCGCCTCCCTGATTTTGTTCGCTCGTGTCTCCTTCACTTCTCACTATTGCCGTAAAAGCCGAAAGTTGGTGCCAGTGAAAAGCTTCAAGCACCACGAACCTTTTCCACCATTTACAGACAAGAACATCAGCAGCACATCCTCATATTCCTCCGAGTCTCGTCCTTTAGCCCGAAAGAAGTTAAACGAGCTGAGCTGCGTGAGAAGTGTGCTGTTTATGCAAATGAGCCATGCGCTTAAGTTTAATTTCTGTAAAATGTAAACACACGTGCGCAAAACTGCATTAAACACATTATTATCTCAAATGGGCTGATGTGGCTCTAGAGTCGTTATGCTTTATATATTGTGAAGTTTAGTAATATTAAGTTTATTTATGCAGAAGATTTTAATGAACAATCTGTTGCAGTGTCACTTGTACAATAGTGTTTGGAAACTTTGGGTTTGATCTGCAGTGGATTGTGGGAAACCTCAGAGCTCTTTACTGCTGGTGAGGAACATGGATCTGTTAAAATAAGGAACATCCTGAACTTCTTCTGCTGAAGGAGCTCGTGGTTCTGGTTCTGGTCTGGATAACAGAGTTAATGCAAAGATGAGCTTGTGTTGAGTTGTTTTATTTATGAATGAAAAGAAGGAAATACTATGTATTATTTCTTTTATTTTACAGTTAAATTATTATTTATGTAATTAGTGTTTTTGTAATCTTAAATGTTCCTATATGAACTGCCGACCTCTTACACTTCAATAAAAAATAAAAAAAGACCTTGTGGAATTTGGCAGATTTGTTTTTGCAGTTTTCAGTTTTAGGTGGTTATTTTTTCTTGAACATATATCGAGATATATATCGTATATCGAGATATAGCAAAATATATCGAGATATATTTTTTAATCCATATCGCCCAGCCCTAATGTGTAGCCCTGATTCTTGTCTTACAGATAAAACGAACTTACATCGAGCTCCATGATTTCGCGGATGGTTTCGTTGAAGGTGGTCCAGTTCCCAAAGTCGATGGTGATGACGTGCGGTCTGCCGATGTACTGCTCTGCGTAAGGATGCTGCGAAGTCACCTGGCAACCAAGAAGAAGAAATTAAAAGGAAGTGTATGGAAGATTTAGATTTTAAACGAAATAAACATGGCCTAATTGTGTCCCTAGATATGAGATAGACATGTTCAAATCAAACATATCTTTTACTGATTTATTTTTTATTACAAAAACATTGGACATGACGGCCAAGGTTTTTGTTTTTTTGTTATAATTTGGTGTTTTGGTTCAAATCCAGGCAGAAAGCAGAATGAGCCCCACATTTGTCTCTCAGTTGGGTTGCCAGTTCCAACACTGAAATCCAGTTGGTTTAAACCTAAAATGCCTCTGTCTGATCTGAATTCTCACTTCCTAAACAACAGCACCTGCTACCAACCATTAATCTGTGCATCTGCTGCTGTTTTATATGCTGTCCATATACTGAGAATGAGAAAAAAAAAAAAAAAGGTATATGTCCTCTATATGCAGATTAAGGCACTGGCAACCCAGGTTCAGTTGTGATTGCAGTACCTATTTTATAACTGTGAGCGCCGGCTACATAGTGTTCCTCTAAAAAACTGGAGACAAATACAGGCCCATAAATAAAACATGTGACAAAAACACCGACATGCTCTATTCTGGGTTTTTAAATAGATGTTTGGAAAAGTTTGAGCTTATTTCATATAAAGATAATGAAGATTTACAGCCATTTTTGTCTTTGAGGTGAAATTAAATAGATAAAAGATAATATAATAGATGCTTTTAGTGAAGGTAATCTATACACCTTATTTATCAGAACACAGAAACATTTCCAGCTTTATTCATAGAGCTTTGAAAAACACGATAATCAACACTTGTGACTCTACCAAACCAATTTGAGGTGTGATTTTGAGGCGCTACCTTCATAAAAAACACCTCTAAACATATAACTTGAGTCTATGTATCTGGTGTAGGACGTGTACCTTCCTGGAGGTGGGCTTTCCTTTGAAGAAGTCGTGGTTGAAGGAGCTGTGTGGGGGATTGAACATGGGCTGGAGGAAGATGCATCCGTTGGCTATAGCCTCCAGTGGAGCGGGGCCTTCGTACGGGAAGCCAAATCCTATAAAAAGCTTGACAGGAAAAAGCAGAAGGAGAATGGAAGGGCTGTTGTGTAGGCGGGCATACATTAAGCCGCCCGTGCGCTTGTGAACACGCCAGTTTGGGGAAGCAAGATTAATCGCAACTGAATCGAAATTACAATTTGAAAGGACGTGATTATAAAAACGCAAAGGCCTCAGTGTTTTTAAGTAACATTATTTCATCTGCAAGCAACAAAATATCTGCATATTCTCTGCGTAAAACTGCTACAAACATGTTCTGAAATGTGATTTTTCTATTAGTTTGTCAGTTAAAATAAAGAAACGTTTTAGGCTATGGAGCTAAATTATTCCCTGATTGTGGAAAAGATGGACTGGCGTGGGCAGAGTTGTTTTAGTTTCTGTTTTTCCTCGAGTGATGCAGAAAAGAGGGGGTCACTGTCTGTGTCAATGTTAGAGCTTCGTTTAGTCAAATCTTCTGGACCTATTGTGTTTGTGTTTGTGTCTGCTCTAAAGTTATCATCCAAACGACCACAGGTTATAATTTGGACATTTTAAATCACAATATTCATCTACAATGTCTAAATAAAAGAATTGACTTCCATGTTAGAAAACTGTGGTGCAAAGAGTTGCGATTAGGGATGGGCATGATTAGTGGACTGATCGATAATTGATCATTAAAAAATTCGTTGATTACGTTCATTTATAATCGACAAACCGAATGTAGGTTTTTGTCCGTAGATATGAAGCTGCACCTGACAGCGCAAACACTGGGGTTGCGGCTTCAGTCCCACGTTTTGGCTCTGGCACCTCCTTGGAGATCACTACAGCTACACTACACTCATTGAGGGCGTTTACATGCACATCTTTATCCCGGTTTTGTCATGGTGCATGTTTAAACAGTATCCCGGTTACCGCAACATAAAGAGCTGCGCTAAACCTGCACATGTTTGATCTCTGAAAACATGAACAATCTCCAACGCGACACACACACAGAACAGAAAGAACACCTATATTCCACTGAGTCGTGTCCTTTAGTCCGACAGAAGCTGAACTGCGGTTCAAATGAGCCATGCGGTTTTAAGTTTTCGTTTCTGTGAGACTTGCACAAAGCTGCATTAAACACATTATAATCTCAAACGGGTTGATGTGGCTCTAAAGTGTTTATGGTTTATATGTTCTAAAGTTGAGTTTATTTATGCAGATTAGTAATAGTAATAATAATGATGATGATACTTTTAATGTAAAAACATTAATGATTAATCAAAAATCGATCGTTAATTCTCCCGACGATCGATTAATAAAATTTCATCGAATGCCGATCCCTAGTTGCGGTGTTATTGGAACCTCAAATATATAGCTGTGCATCATGTTAAAGAGCAAGCAGCAGATTTTTTTTTTTCATTCGTACCAAAATGACTACAACTACTTCTATGTGATACTGATAAAACCTAAACGTAGAAGAAAGTACAGAGCAGTGGGCATTTCCGTGAAAATGGGGGTTGATCAGAGCAGGAGAAGAAAGATTTTCTAACATGTATGAATCGCACAACATACAAATTGAATTAGTAAACGAGAAGGGAAAACAACTATATATGGTTTGCTTTAAAAATTAACAGTTAATCGATTCCCATCATTGAAACTTCAATACAAATCAGGATTAAATATTTCTCTTTGATCCTTCAGCCCTTTACCAGTTCTCTGTGTACCTTGGCTTTCCTGAGGAGCTGCTGCAGTTCGTGCTGAGGCAGCAGACCGTGATTCTTGACGAAGGCGGGCACCTGCGGGGGGCGCTGTGAGTCGTAGTACACGGTGCCGTGGATCTCCATGTGGTGGTGTAACACCTCCAGGAACTTATCTTTGCCCTTTGGAGAAACAGCTTTGATTACTATCACTGTAGTCATCCATCTTGTTGGCGTGTGGCTTTTACCGCTCTAATTACTCTATGGAAAATATCCAATATAAAACAACAGCACCATGAGTTATTAACAAATCTGGGCCGTACGCAGTGACCTGGATCGGCTTTTGTTCTGATTTTTTTTTCATTGTGAATCGCATGTAGTCATCTGAAAATGAGTCTAATATCTTTGTTAGTTCATTAATCATAAATGGCACACAGCGTAAATAAATGACCCTATTGTTTACTTCCTCCGTTTCAGAATTGAGCACCTTGTAAGGCCGATATGCAGGCACCAATTCAACTGCATGAATCTGCACTCAGGCATTTCCAGGGATAAAAGACTAAAGGCTCATTATTCATTCTGTTTGGGTTCAGCAATCACCCACCAACCAACCAGTAGATGGTTCAATCTCATCTGAGAATATGCGGTTGTTGTGCCCTTAGCAAGACACTTGTGACACTTGTGTTCAGATGGGCGTGATTGACAGTAAATAAGTAAGCAAGTTTTTATTTAGATAGCACTTTTCACAGACGTATGTCACCAAAACGCTTTACAGAACATTATTTATTCACTCCATACCCGATGGTGGTAAACTACTATTGTAGCCACAGCTGCCCCGGAGCAGACTGCGCCATCGGTCCCTCCGATCACCACCATCACTCACGCACACACCACTTTCATACTAGGCAGCCTGGGTGAAGTGTCAGTTTAAAAGGACACAACGACAGTTTTTGCGACTGGCGCCCCACTGTGGCACCTGATTTTCCCAGTGGTCTCTCATCCAAGTACTAACCAGGCCCGGCCCTGCTTATTAGCCAATTAGGGAAAAGCATAGTTTGTCTATATGAAAACAAATAAGGCTGCTTATGAGAAAAAAATATCACAGGGCACTGAAAAACATTGTGGATTTCTGTAAAATCAATTAATGAACCACTAAACTTTTAAGATAGATGACCAATGAGCTCTTTCGTTTCATGTCACGGAATCAAACAAATTCAGACTTCAAAATCATGTTTGGAATCGGGCTTGAGACGAAAAAGAGAGCTTGGGGACCAGACTCATCCCTGTGTGTAAAAAATACAGACAGATACTCTGGACTTTCCAGATAAACAAAATGCCAAATCACCACGCATAACTATAAATGGAATCTGCAAACAGATATGAAAGAAAAGTTGCAGCTGTAAACATAACTCGACTGTACATCATGCAGACAGACACAAATGGAGCTGTACTTACTTCCAGCTGGGTGTATCCGTTCGGTGCATGACAAACAGATAAGAAGAAGAAGAAACAGAGATTTCAACAGTAACACCCTGACAGAAACCCACAACAAGAAGTGAATGAGATGCGATTCACAGCTCTCATGAGGCCAGTCAGATGTTCAGACTTCTTAAAATCTCCAAGCAGAATTTTGAGCTCGGGTTTCACAGAAATATGTTTTGAAACCAAGTTGTTTATCTGACAGTGTTTGTCTACACGGGGAGATGTCCTGGGCTATAGGATAAAGAAGAAAGGCTCAGCTGGATCCAAGCGACTGAGCTGAACCTTAAGGGAGAGAGTGCACTTCAAAGTAACGCCGGTGTTTGGAGCAAAGAGGGACAATGGCTGTAAACAAGGACAAATGCACTATAACAGACAATGCAGTGCCGATGCCAGACAGGTATTGTTCCGAGGTGGGTAGAGTAGCCAAAGAAGTTACTCAAGTAAAAGTAAAATTACTTTATTATAATATTACTTGAGTAGAAGTACAAGGTAGGAGTCCATGAAATTACGAGAGAAAAAAGTATTTTGAAAAAAAAAAAAAAAAAAAACAAGCAAAAAACTAACATATGATTTATAATGTGAACTTAAAGAGAGGACATTTTACTTTTTTGGGGTATTGACTGCTAACTTTAAATAAAAACTATATATTAATATATTATATAAGTTTCATTTCCGTTTTGACACTGAGTCTCCCCTCTCTTTGCTCTCCGCACTAAATCAGTCCCCCAGCACGTTAGGTTCTTGGTATTAGGTCTTTTATAAGAAATAAATATGGTGAATAATCATAAGGACAGCAGTTTGAGCCCACATACTGTGCATACTGTTGTTTCACCAAGCTTATGTATGGGACTATGTATGAATGCCATATGGACATAAATTATGCACATGACACAACAGTCCTAGGAAAATTCAAACTGCTTACTGTATTTTTCGGACTGTAAGTCGCACTTTTTTTCATGGTTTGGGTGGTCCTGCAATTTATACTTTGGTGTGACTTATATATTAAAATTTTCAGACTGACAGCCACGAGGGGCGTGCTAGGCTTGTATATCAGTTTTTTGCGCATGTCTCCTGCAGAAAAAGCAACAGAAAGAAAGTTTGGAGTGAGTGAGAAACTTGTGAGGGACTGGAGAAAAGCGGGAATGGAGAACACAGCTTCACGGCAACCGGGAGGATGCGGCATGTCTGGACTTAAGTGACAACCAAAGTTGCACGGAGTTGCTCAGAAGTGACACTGAGGATAAAGAATTCAGTGGATTCATAGGATTTAGTGATTTGGAAAGAGATTGAGAGTTTGGTAAACTCATGTTCTGTTGTTTATGCTATAGTTGTCTGAATAATTGTTAACAGGCCTATTCAGCATGTTGTTCTTTATTCTACTGTTGTTACTATAATTTGCTTTTCAAGATGAAATGTTGGTTCCTGGTCCCTGATTTTATAAAATAAATTTCCCCCAAAAAGTGCGACTTATAGTCCGATGCGACTTATATATGTTTTTTCTTCTTCATTGCACATTTTTTTGGCTAGTGCGACTTAATAATCCAAAAATACGGTGCTTTCTTAAGGTCACAGGCAAAGAACTTAAGTGAACTGCACACATTCTAACAGGGTTCATTGTAGTCATTGTATAATATGTGTCCTTTAAAGGGACAATATGTAACTTTTATGGTTTGCCTCCTGCTTGTCTCCATTAGATGTTATTACTTTACCGGAAAAGTGTCACAAAGCATCTCATACATTTAATTACTGATTTTATTCAGTTCAGTCAGTGGCCATGATGTTGTCCCTGATTTATAAAGCCCATAAACACGCAGTATATTCACTTTCATATAGGACACATCTGTACAGAGACTGACCTTCCACATGCTGGCATCTTTCCCATACACCACGGCCATGTTGTGCACCTTGTTCTTCTGAATAGAGAGCCGCTCCGTCTCATTCACCTCCTCCACCACGAAGCCCATGAAGGAGTTATCAGGAGTATGGGCTGCCAAGGACAAAGCAAACACACACTCACGAGTTATGGCCACAAGTTTATCGGATGGGACACAACGGCTATTACAAAGATGTGTACCAGTAAAACTTCAAGGTGAAAGTGTACAATGTTCAGAAGTTGTTAAAAAGTCGCTTTATTTTGTTAGGTCTTAGGAAATAGAAAAGTTAAAACTAGAGCTGCAAGATGGATGCAATTAGGAAAGTTTTTCAGTGTAATAAACACAACCACAATCAAACAAGCTTTTATTTTAGTCTATATTTTGAAATAAGGTTACATACTGTGACTTTATTACATAATATATATATATATATATATATATATATATATATTTTTTTTTTTCCATTTTACCATGTACAAATTATACACAGTGTAAAGAAGTGGGCTAAGCACCTATAGTGCTCAACTCCAGTCAAATGAAGCTCACAATTTTGGAAGAATTTATGTAAATTTATATGTAAAAAGTGAAATAAAAACACCAGAATGATGTAGAGTGAATATTTTAAGACCAAAATGACGAGGCTCACTGAAGCAGTTACAGAGAGACAGGTGACAATTTTTCAATATAAAGTCAATTGGAGCCAGAGTCGACGGAGCCGGAAGCGTGACCATACTCACTTCCTTAGCTCTGTCCATTTATATAAACAGTCTGCGGTACAAGTTTATGAAAGTGTCTCATTTAGTTTAGGAATGCTTTCAAAAAGTTTTAAATAGAATATTAAAACCATACTTCGGCACATTCTCATGTTTAATGTCATACTGTTAGTGACGAGCAAATGAGACGGAGCTCCGGAGCACGTCTCGTTCTTTCTGAAACAAATTGCTCTGAAGCACTGCCTCAGAGCTCATCTCGCAGCAGTCGCTCACGTGACCAAAGTGTCGAAGTGTCGGTCCCTCCCCTACTGCTTCGCTCTGCGTGTCAATCGCTTCAGTATATTGAAGCATTTCATTGGCTCAGCAAGTGTTCCGCTCTGCGATTGGATCAGAGTGTTCAGCGCACTTCCGCGATTTGACAAGTGCTAAACTGCTACAGTATAAAAGATGCACCAATATTTCTTAAAAATGTTGGGTGGCGAGGAGTATTGTGTGACGTTAGTGGTGATTTTGGTGACTTTTGGCGACTTTTGGCATTTGTTTCGATGGCATCTACAAGTGGAAAAAAGCGATCCATGGTTTGGGATCACTTTGATCTAATTCCACCTAACAAGGTCACCTATTTTCTTATTTACAGCTGCTATTTATGTTGCTGTTTACATATTATTTTAAATCATCATTATTATTGTTGTTGTTAGGTACGGTGTCGCTCTGCACACAAGTATTGTCTTACACTAACAATACTTCATCGATGCTGAAACACCTGCGTGCCAATGGTTAAATTTGTCCACTAGAGGTCAGTGTTTCTCCAAGGCCCCAGACGAACCATTTGAGACAATACTGCGACTGAGGTGTCAATGCTTCATGAGGCTCCACTTGCCCATCACTACATACTGCATACTGTGGAAGATTATAGCCAAAGAAACAAACATGTTCATGGAAACAAGAGTCACGTTTGTGGAGAGGCAAGCTCGCAATAAGGAGGCACGTTTTTCAGTGCAGTAAACAGAACCATAATAAAAAAAAACATGCTTTCATTTTTGTTTATTGTAAAGCAAAAAAAAGTTACATACTGCAACTTTATTTATTTTACCATGTAGAGCAACATTGATAAATTGGCAGTGTTGGAAGAGTTTTTTTTACTTACATAAAAATATAGATACCAAAGCAAAAAAAAAAAAAACTCAAGTAAAAGTATCACATGAAAAAATCTAGTAAGGTAAGTAAAGTAAAAGTATTAAAGTGCCAGTTTAAAAAGTATTTGGCGCAGATTTGAGATCTAATGAAGCTTCAAAGATACTGGTTTTGATCAAACATTTAACAGAATTTTTAGAAACAATTTGAGTGACTTTGTAGATGGAGAATGGTGACAGTCCTGTATTTGGCTAAAGTCTTGAAATAAATGTATTTGTAGAATATAATGTAACAATTTGAAAAAAAATATGATTATATATATAAATAGTATATATAAATAGTATAAATAGTGTATTATACTTTTTACTTTTTCTTCACTGCATTTGTACTTTCTACTCCACTACATTAATTAACTGGACTGAAAAGTAAAAGTATTTTTTATTATTGTGTTTCTGTATTTTTTAGCAAGGTGGTAGTTTGATCAAAGAAAAATAAACAAATAAAAACTAGGCAAGTAAAGTACAGATATCTAAATTTACTTAAGTACAGCACTTTTCTACTTTTATTTTGTTGTGTTCCATCAGTCTAAATTGGTCAGTGGGTATTGTATTATTTTGCTTCTTTAGTACAAAATTGTAGAAAATTAAATAAAACAAAGACTGAAATTTGTCATGGCAGAAAAGCTATTACGTTGTGGATCGTCTAGTTCGTGGATCGTTAAGTTCAGAAATATTATCCAAAAAAATGGAGTTACGAAAATTGACTGGTGAGAACAAGCTGTATTTTAATCTGTTTTGATCATAGCTACTGCAGCACTGTTATTTTAGCAGAGCCCCAAAAATACTATGTACCAGAAAATAAGCGCTTGTGAGGTGCCAAAGGGTAGCATTATTTTTTTTCCAATTTTCAAAACTGAAATGAAATTTGACAAGTTTCATTCCAACTCTTTTCACTTTGTAATTACAGTGGTGTCAGACTTCAGTTCAAGCCTATTACTGTGTTTGGAGTATACAGAACGGCAGAATATGAAACTGTCAGACATATCACATGCTTTATTTTGTCGCAGGATTCTTTAAAAGCTCTAAATGTAGAGTAAATCCAATGTTATTTACTACTATACTACTACTACTAATACTACTGCTGTTACTTTAAAGATGCAGTGTGTAAATTTTCTGGTGGAGGGTCCATCAAATGCTTTTCTCAATGAAAATGTTATTGCTTGCTTTGTCTGGAATGTTCCACAGTATTGTTACGGCCCCAGGCCTTAGACTGTAATTTGTTTTGTGTGTTATAAATTATTCTGCTGACACACCTTGATTCCTGCTGTGGGAGCCCTGGTTTGTGATTGGTGGGGCAGGTCGACGCCCACCTCACCTACAGCCACCTCCCCCTATTTAAGAAGATTACCTGCACCTGTTCGGGGCTGCTGGCCTTGGTGGCCAGTCTGCCATTTTGGTTTTGTGTGTGTAGTTCTGTTTTCGTGCCATTTTTGATTTAGTCACTCGATTCTGTTTGTGGGTTTATGTGGTTTAATTTGGGGAACTTGTGTTTAGTTTCATGTGTGTCCCTTTGTTAACCACTCATTTTGTGTAAGCCTGCGTGACCCCTTTTGTGGCACAAAAGTCAGTATATTCTGTTGTTCTGTTTCTTAGTTTAGGTTATTTTCTGTATATTTTAGTCTTTTGTTAATTTACCTTTTACATTCCTGTTAATTAAACATTATTTAATTTATTCCATTTCACATCTTGCTTTTATTTTGTTACTTCCTCCCGTCCCTAGCAGAGCTGGGTCGTAACAAGTATGACATTAAACAGCTCCACCTTACATTTATGTGAGGTCGAGCTGTGAATCAATACTTATGGAACATGAGGACTGTTGTCATAGTGATTAACAAATGTGCATATAACAGGAAGAATACTGAATGAATGAATGAATACTTACGAAACATAGTCATATACTGGCGTGCGTTGAGGTTCCAGTAGCCCCAGTTTGTCCTGTATCCGTGCTGGGTGGCGTACTCTTCATGGTTGTAGGCGGGCTCTGTCCCAAAAGTGTCAATCACCCGGATGTTACACCTAGAACAAGAGCATAAATAATCAAACTGAATACTATGCCACATTCAGACTTAATGCTCAGGGCTCGACGTCGTCCATGTGCCCTATGGCCCCCCCGAGGGTATAAAATCTCGTATGCTTGTTTTGACAGTAAGACTAGGGAGAGACACTTCTGTCAGGGACCGGCAGCTCTGTGATTGTGCGCACAGTTGCTTTAATAAATCTAAGACTCTTTGATTTGAGACAACTTCTCTGTTTATTCTTTATCCTAGAAATTCCATAACATGCTCAATTTGGATTTTTTCATGAAATCTGTTTTTTTTTTTTTTTTTTTGGACATCGTTCACATTTCCAATTAAATGCAACTTGTACGTGATCTCCAGTGTGAACTTTAAACGCCCCACAAATGTCCCGCATGCGCATTTGAGGACACAACATATCACAGGCAGCGAGTGTGTTCAGTGTTTACGGAACTAGACTAAACGCTGGGTTTGTTTCCCAAAATACAGTCCAGTTCTTGGTAAAATGGACAGGTTACACGGCCTCGGCTGCGTCATTTGTTGAGTCTTTAGCCTCCTTGTATTTGGCTCGCAGGCTCTTTTTTGGTTTTTTTTTGACACTGGAGCCAGGACCAACTGTAGCTGTGCTTGGTCATTTCTTTGGCAATCATTTCAAAAAAGCCTGGTTCTGATAAGACTCCTCCAATTTGGCCTGAATACAGCGATCCTCCAAATATTAATGAAATCCCGAACCTTTCTTTCCCTTTCCGCTGGTTAGACTATGAGCCTGACGTGTAGTTTGGATGAATGTGACCTGGCCGTTCAGACTGAAGTTGCATGTCAAAAGATTGGATATGTATCGGTTTTAGGACCACATATCCAAGTGACCTGGGTCACATTTGAAAAAATCAGATCTGTGTCATTCAGACTGTCATTAAAAGATCAGATACAGGTCGCATAGGGGCAAAAAAAAACAGATTTGGGTCACTGCAGGCTGCAGTCTGAATGTAACCTTAAAGGGCCTACATTAAACAAAATGTGCTCTTGTCAGATTTAAGTCATGTTAGAATGTTGTTACCTCCTCAAAAACAGACCTGGAGTTGTGTTTTGTTTCATTCACACGTTTGAGTAACACTGCATTTTTAGTCTGTTTACATCTCCAACGCAGAAAATGCTCTGTTCCACCTTGTGATGTCATTTAGTGGTAGTTTTGAAGTTACTTTTTACTGTTTGTTTAGTAGAGTTTAGCAATTCCAGGGCTGAAATGATCCAAATGTTTCTAGTGAAGTTTGAAGTTTAAAAACACATTGGAGCACTTCCTGTATTACCAGATGACATCACAATGTGGAAGGAGTGTTTTTTGTTTAAGAGAAGAACTAAATATGCACGTTTTGTGTGTTAAACATGTGTGAATGAAAAAAAAACACAACTCCAGGTCTTTTTTTAGACGAGGAAACAACATTATAACATAGATCAGAAAATCGCTTAAATTGGGCCTTTTTAATATGAAATTAATATTTGCAATTATTTATTTCTTGTATAAATATGTTGTTTTAGACTGAATTAAACATCAAAAATATAGTGGAATGTATTTTCACAATTGATGGTACTGGTTCACTTTTTTGTACAGTTATAAAAATGTTGATTAAAAAAAAAAAAATTATAAATGAAACAGAACAAAAACTGAAGATTAAAGAGCACACAAACAAACTCCAGGTATGTTTTTTGACGAGTTAACCATATTCGAACATGGCGTAAAGCTCACTAGAGTCAGTTTTGTGTAATATACGACGACCTTTAACACTGTGACATTTCAATACCAATAAATGCTAGAAAAATCCCAACTTTTACCACTAGAGTTTTGAGGGCTTTCCTGGCTCAGACTTTGCTGCCTGAGTGGAGAAGTACAGGTCTGTGTGTACCCTGCAGCACAGTACTATGAGTGAAGTTTAAAGTACAGCCTGTGTCAGTCCCGTGTCTCCAGGCTGAGGGCGCGACGACCCTCCTCACGCTCACGGAACAAGAACCACTCAGCTCTGCTCTGACAATGGCAAAGAGGGCTCCAACTGCTCTACACATCTGCTGTGGATGGAGAGAACGTTTCCGTGAGATGAAATACGAGATTGGGTCCATGAAAATGACACAAGACAAAATTTTGACATAACTGCTCATACATAAATTGTGTGATGAAGTTTAGGATTGTAGTCACGCTTTTCTTTTTTTTTTAAAGGTCCTATAATGTTGGTACCTCATCAAAAACATACCTGGAGTTCTGTTTGGTTTCATTCACATGTTTGAGTAATCCTGGTTTATTAGTCTGTCTGCATCTCCAAAGCTCAGAATGCTCTGTTCCAACTTATGATGTCATGAAGTGGTAGTTTTCAAGTTGACAGCTGCGTTTTACCTTTAGTTCAGTAGAGTAAAGATTGGCAATTCCAGGGCTGAAATGATCCAAATGATTCTTGTGAAGGTGTATGGAGTTTAAAAACACAGTGGATCACTTCCTGTATTACCACATGACATCACAAGGTGGAACAGAGTGTTTTTTGTTTGAGAGAAGAGTTCAGCCTTAACCGTTTTTTCCATTATTCATTTAACGGCCATGTCCCGTTTCCGTGACTTAAACTGCGATGCCGGACTTTTGCACCGTATACAGACTGAACCAGGACTGAATCAGGACTAAACTGGTCTCAGTCCTTGTCTCAGTGCTGGTCTGGTCCCGGTCTCAGTCCTGGTGTCAGTCCCAATCTTGTCCCGGTCTTGACCCGGTCTTAGTCCTGGTCACAGTGTCAGTCTGGTTCCGGTCTCAGTCCCTCGCACCTTCGAGCCCATCCCGACATTCAGTCCTGGTTCAGTCCTGGTTCAGTCCTGGTTCAGTCCTGGTTCAGTCCTGGTTCAGTCCTGGTTCATTCTGGCATCACACTTTACGTCACGGAAATGGGAAACCCTAAATCGAAAACTGAAACAAATCATAATCCGTTTTTTCAGTTTGGTTTTAGAGACAAATAATAAAGAAAATTGTTTTTTTTTTTCATTTTCTTATTTTTGGTTTTATTTTGAAAAACTAATGAAGGAATGATACACTAATTATTATGGCATAATTTGAACAATTTAAATAACAATACTAAGTAATAAATAACAATAATAATAAAAGAAACAAGACTTTCACATTGGAAAACTGCTGTGTCCAATGGGAGCACTGGAAGCAACATCACAACAAAGAGCTGTGACGCTGTCGGCAGCTCAGACGGACAGCTGCAGATCACCATAGCAAGGAAAAAATGTTTACCAAATGACTATGTGGCACTGCTAAATCCTACATGCATCACAGATTAAGAAAATAAAATTGGAGAACAAAGTACAGAGCAGTGGGCGGTGAAAAAGGTGGTTGAACGGCAATATAACGTCTTGAAAATAAGCAATATAAGATTTCTCAAACATGCACGAATCACTGCAAATACAACTTCCAGAGGGAACATGAGAAGAGAAACAATTACAACATGGTTCAAAGCTCTGAAAAGTTCACTTTGCATAGTAAGTCTGCTGTAAGGCAAATGTTTTACCTGATTTGTAAATAGGTCAGTTCATTTTAAATGTATCCTCACTGTATGTTAGGAGGACAAGACTAATCACAATCAAACTGAAATCACAAACTGAATGAACGTGAATTGTGCATTGTCAGTTTAGCCATTTCAAGTCCTGCTCCCACAATGTTTAGCTTGTGAGTTTGCAATTAGCAACGTGATGGCAACAGCAGTTTAAAATGACAATGTGTGATAAGTGTAAAACATGCTGGACACGCTACAGCTAACAGGGAGACACATACATCGAGGATGAAACTAGAACAAGTGCAGGTAAAGCTGTAAGATAACGATTCTATTGAACTGTGGCCTTGTTACACTCTGACAATGTGCTTTAGCTTGCCTCAGTGCTTGTGTTTAATGCGGCTCTGTGCTAAGACACATGCAGTCTGCTTTTCCCTAACAGCTCCATGAGTGATTGACAGACACATTAAACCAAGCGTGAAGTACAAGACTGACTGTAGCTTTAGTTTCCACTTAGAGGCACGATTGTTTGAGCTCACAGTGTAAAATGGACCTGGAGCTGTGTTTGGCTTCATTTGCACCTTTCAGTAATCCATCTTATTTAGTCTGGGTTTCCGTCAAAACCAACGGGGGAACGTAATAAAGTGAATGTAGTGAAGTACTGTACTTAAAGATGCACTGTGTAACTTTCCGGGTGGAGGGTCCGCCACTCTGGAGACATTATTGCTTCACAGTATGATTAAACTTATCTATTTCCATGGAGACAAGCATCACATCACTTTACAGGTCTGATTTGTGGAGAGTTTTTTCAGGTATTGTCTAACCGTAAAAAACAACAACAACAACAAAAACACCAATAATTCAATAATAAGCAAGTTTAGCAATCACCCTAACATCCCCATGGACACAAGCAGGTGCTGCACTTGTATCAGAAAGGTTACACAATGCTAGAGCCACCTAGTGCCTCCACTCAATTTAATTTCTCTCCAGCGACTAGGTCAGGAATCGGAATACACTAGATGATTTGCAAGAACCCCGGAAGTGCGAGTTCGGGCACCAGCCAATCAGCGAAGAGCCATACAACGATTCCCAAGATCGAGGATTTAAAGCTGGAACAAACAGAATGTTTGGTGAATTTTATCAAGGGGAAAGATGTTATTGCCCTTCTTCCTACGGGATTTGGGAAAAGCTTAATATACCTGTTAGCCCCGTTAGTGGTGCATTACATACGTCACGACCAAATAGCAGCAATTGGTTAAATAAAAAAAGTACCTTCCTACCATCAAGCAAATGAATCCTAATGCTGCGAGGTCAGACGGTTTCCACGAAGTAAAACCGGCTGATGAATCAGGCTAACACAATGCACCTTTAAGAATTAATATTAAGTATCTGTAATTCTTCAAGTAGATTTTAAAGTGGATACTTTAAATTTTATTTCACTATATCTAAAAGCAGGTGTCTGTACTTTCTTCTCCAC